GTAATAGTTACATCGGGTTGCAAGCAAAATGGAACTACTTTATTTAAATTACTTCCCATTTCAACATTTAAATTAAGCAAGGGAAAAAACTTGTAAAAATGTTCTATAAAGTTGTTAAAATATCTATAAACTAATCTATAATAATATAAAAGAGAGGTCATTGTATATTGCAAGATTGAGCAAAAAAAATAAATAAGAGTAAATATGTATGAAAACGATACATTTTTTCCCTTCTACATTTTATAATTATTACTTACTTTCTACATAAAACCTTAAATTTATAAATCAATTTATTGAAATATCATGAATCGGTGCCGTTCAGACAAAGATTTTAAGGTTTTTTGGTTGGAAGGTGTGTATTTTGAATACTATTCGCGAGCCGCATGCGGCTCTTTTGATGTCAAGTTGCGGCTCTTCAGCTCCATGCACAAATATTTAAAAAATTATTTTATTTTATTTTTAAAACTCATAAAAGTATTAGTCTGCAACACTCGGTAATGAACGATATAATAATAAATATAAACAATAAACACTATATTCTATTAGAATATTTAGATACTCCCTATTTCAACGTACTTCCTTGTTTTCTTTTTTTTTTCCTTGTTAAACCCTAGCTCGGATTATCATCAAATGTCGTATTGTAGGGTGCTCCTTAAAAAACTAAGGTAGGCGCTTAGTGCTCGCAGGATAGCCCTGGGCACCCTGCAGAGACTTTGGACGCGCCGGATTCGATTTAGTGTGCAACTATAGCAACCCATTGCGCTGTTTAAAATCAGTGTTTCTTACAGACTTTTTTCTCCGGGGGGGGGGGGGGGGGGCACTTGAAATTTTCGGGGGGGGGGGGGGGGCGGTAGACTTTCTTCGGGGTGCGGACACTGTTAAAAGTATATATTTTCTATATAAATTATATAAATTTCATTTCGTTCGGGGGGGGGGGGGGGAGGGGGGCGGTAGAAATTTGCCTGGAAGAAACTCTGGTCGAACCGCATCCGACTTTTTTTTTTACAGTATGTAGAGAAAAATTGCACCCTCCGAAATTTAAAATATGATTTTTTGCACTAACTTCTACTGGAGTGTTTTAATCAACTCCTTTAAGTTTCATGATGATCGGATGAAGGGTGTCATTCCGCAATCGACTTCTATTTTCTATATACCGTATATAGAGGAAAAGTAAACCGCGCCATGCCTGGGCGCCACTCCTGCGAATTTGAAAAACTTTTTTTCGAAGAAACCTCCCCAGGTGAATTCGCAACAACTTCCCAAAGTTTCATGGCTATCGGATGAATGGAGTAGTAATGCGTAAAAGAAAAACAGACACACAAACACACATACTTAGCTTAATATATATATATATATATATATATATATATATATATATATATATATATATATATATATATATATATATATATATATATATATATATATATATATATTTATGTTGGTGGCTCTTTAAAAACTTGGAATTTGTGTAAATTGTTACTTTTGGCTCTTCCGTCTCAAAAGGTTGCCGACCCCTGCTATAGTTGGAAAGTGTGTATTCGAGTACTAATAATCAACTAGACTGGCTTTATAGTTGGAAGATGTGTATTCGATTACCAGGCATGAACTATGGTGTAAAGTCAGAGACGATGAAAATAGTAAATAATACTTGTAATTTAAGCTCGTTAACAAATAAATGTCTTTATTTTAGTACCAGTTCTATAATGTGGTTCCAGATTCCTACATCATGCCTGCATCATCGGCTCCCCGCCCTTAAAGTCTTCAGTATAAGTTTCTAGCTTTGGAAATATAGAGTGAAAAAAAATCCCAGTATTGATCAATCTAAGAACTATAAATCTTTCATTTCTGGGAATGTTTTATGAAGTTCCAAATACGAATCTGCACTGAGTATAGAAGTTAAATGTATTGCAGCAGTTACACCCCCCCCCCCCCAAAAAAAAACAATGCCATCAAAAAAAAAGAATATTTTGCAAATCTGGAGTTTTTGCATGTGTGTGATTTTTTTTTTCAAATAAGAAACCAACGGTTGTTGGTAAATAGAGCAGAAAAACAAAAGTGGATAACTGAAAAGCAATTCAAAACAAAATTATCTTAAGAAAAGTTAATTTAAAAAGCATACTATGGTTTTTATGTGTGGCCTTAATCAGAGGCGTAGCGAGGGGGGGGGGGGCGGGGGGTGCGGATCGCACCGGGTGACACCATTTAGGGGGGGTGACACCAAGGCAAAAATTAGCAAACTATATAGAGAAAAACTTGAGGGGGGGTGCAAATCGAAAGTTCGAGGGGGGGGGGGGGGGGTGCAAATAAAAAATTTGAGGAGGGGGGGGGGTCCAAATAAAAAAAAATGTGACAGTTTGTCCCCGGGAAGGGTCGATACGCCTCTGGGGGGGGGGGGGGTGACACCATTAAGTGCCGCACCGGGTGACACCCTACCTCGCTACGCCACTGGACTGAATGATGTTTTAATGTGATGAGCTAATTTTTTGATGGAATTGTATTTTTTACTTGTTTTATTTCTAAAATAAAAGTATTAAATTTTTTTTTACAAAAAAGAATGGTTGCAAAGTATGAAGCTATTGCCTAATGGCGTTTGGAGCATGCAGGTTGCTGTAACAAGATTTAACATTGATCTGCAGAAATCCTTATCGCATTTCATAGATGAATACCGCTTACTGTAGGGTTTGAGTTTTTATTTTGTTTTAGGAATGATGGCGTGATGGATGACGGTTAAAAGAACGCAGTAATTGAGTAAATTAGTAGATCTAGATCTTTATTTATGTTAACGACGGGGTGGCAAGTTTGATGGGGGGAATGGGCGTTGTGATGGGGGAGGGGGGAACCTAATACGATAAAACTTAGGCTTATTCGAAAGTTTAATACAGTATTGTAAAAGTAAATAGATTCTATGTATTATTCAGTTTTTGTGTTCCAAATCTGTCATGAGCATTTTCCAAAAAAAACAACAAAAAAACAATAAATAAATAAAAAAAACAACAACCCACGTAGTATGTAGATCTAGGTGTCAGTAGGAGAAAATGAATAAATTAATGCTCATATTAGCCTAGTCTGTCATTTCGTCCGTCATTCATTGATGAAGGTACTTAAACTTTATTTAGAATGATTTACTTATAGATCTAGATCTAGTTAAACCAAACAGATTCACTATATAGAAAAATTAAAAACAAATGTTCACATTTTATTTTACTCTTTAAGTGCCCAAACTCATGTTCCCTTGTACATCACTGATTATTCTTTATGCGAAGTAAATGTTGAATGGCATTACTAGAAGCAAGTTACCCGGCTGTAGTTATCGGTACTATCAACAACGCTGATCTAGCGCGTCATGTAATACTGCATTTGCTGAGCTCGCCATTGTGGGAGGTAATACTGACATCATTACTAGTCAGGATTGCGATTTTCATTCATGATTGTTTATCACAAGAAATCAGGATTTTCAGCTTACTATGTGGGTTTTATATTTCTACCTTGAACGGTGTACATCAGAGGCGTAGCGACCCCTCCGGGGACAAACTTTCAATTTGCCCCCCCCCCCCCCCCCCCCCCTTTCGTATATTTTTTAAATTTATAATTCAAAATAGCAGCTGAAATGAGCCCCTAGGATCGACGCCCGGGGACATAAATTATGAAATTATGTACCCCCCCCCCCCCCAAGCGGTAGTGTAACATTGTAGAATACTAGATCTAGATATAGATCTAGACGTTTAAAATAAATTATTTTAATAAGAGAAAGTACTGTGAACTGTCAAACTTTGGCATTATTTAAACATCGGGTTACGTGTATGCTGATTAGTGAACAGTCGAATTATAAAGTTGTCATATTTCTAGATCTAGACCTATCTAGATTTCTAGATCTAGATCTCTAGATCTCGATCTAGAATCAGTTAAGCCACCCAAAAACGTGAACACAATAATTTCAATCGCATGTTCTTGTGTCAAATACAATTTTTAATTATAATTAATATTTAATTATACGCATTTAACAACTTGTTTTAAGTTTAATGAGTGTACATTAGTAACATTATTGTATAATTCTAATTGGTGCATACACAGAAAAAGTCATATATTTTAATGTAATTTAAATTCTTGAATGTTTTAAACTTTTCACAACTCGGTATGCTAGACCACATACTAGAATCTAGTCTAGATCTAGATTTAGATCTAGATCTAATTGATCTAGCCAATTAGCGGTAGATTTTTAGTAAAAAAAAAACAACCCTTAGGACTTTTATAGTAGGCCTATAGGCCTACATAACTAGAGATCTAAATTGTATAGAATACGCTCAACCAATATTTCATTTTAAAATTCTAAATCTGCTCTAGCTTAGGCCCATAGCTCTTTTATCCGGAGTATTTATTTGCAGCAACATTACGTAAAGATCGCTATTATTAAATACAAAATACAGGCCTGATTTGATATTCGATGATTAATAACGATTAGATCTAGAATCTATATTATTATAAACATAATATATTGTCCTACACATTTTATATTAAATCTAGATCTAGATCTAGATCTAGATCTACATCAATCTAATGTACAGTGATTCAGGACATCAATTTAAACATTTTAAACAATAATTAATCCTAGATTCTAGATCTAGATCTAAATCTAGATATAAACTTTTCCACAGTAATTTTGAATGTTTACTTTATAAAATTAGGTGTATCCACCTGGATTTAGAAGCAAGCCGCTTCCAGTGTTTCTTCCAGACTTTTTTCTCCGGGGGGGCACTTGAAATCTTCGGGGGGGGGGCGGTAAACTTTCTTCGGGGGGGGGGGGGGCGGACACTGTTAAAAGTATATATTTTCTATATAAATTATATAAATTTCATTTCGTTCGGGGGGGGGCGGTAAAAAATTTTCGGGGGGGGGGGGGGGGGCGAAGCCCCCCCGAAGAGATGCCTGGAAGAAACTCTGGCCGCTTCACACCTAGACTTAATAAAACGGCGTGTTGTATTTTGTTAAGGTTGTCTTACCTTCCATTGAGTTGATGGACGAGTTGTACGCAGTAGTTGGTGGCCAATCGTACACACAGTCCGTGGTCCTTTGCGACGCTATCCCAGGACCACTACCACAACCACTACCAGCGCTAGCACCACCAGACTGCGAGCCGTTGACGAGTGCGCCGCTGTGGTCGAGAAGGGGGTGCAGGGCGCCAGGACCAGACATGAGAGAAGCGATGCTGAAGTCTTTGGCACGAGGTGACAAAGGACTAGAAAGGTCCATCAACTTCACCCTCGTGACCCGCACATCGAGATTTGATTGGTTTAGATCTTCCGCTTTTTTTTTTAAACACACTATAACATCGAGTCTACGGCTTCTCCAAATCAAAACAAAAAAAAATGGAAAAAAATATATTTTTGTTTCTCCTTAAAAGAAAACGGATAATAATCTCTTAAACACTATCGTCCTCTGAGACTAAGAAAGATTTCCAGAGCCGCTTCGTGTACGTCCGTGCACATCGAAGTCTATCTCGTACCTGGCCAGAGCTGTAGATTTCTTCCCTCCGCTTGCCAGGATATTCCGTGCCTTCAATTGGCTCGATAACGAGTTGAAGAAATTGACAAATGACTGGCTAATGACGTGCCAAGCCACGCCCACTCATTTTCAGGAAACCGCATGGCACACCAGCATCCGCCAATGGATGGGAATCTCGATGGCACCGGGCGAAGCCGGGCTTAGACGAACAGGGCAAGGCGAGGTCTGATTGGATGGTTTAGCGGGTGACGTCAGGGCGCGTGAATCCGTCGAGTTGCAGACGACGTCGTGGCAAGTTTGAAGGAATGTCTGGCACCGAGGAATTATCTGGCAATGTCTGGCACCGTGGAACTATCTGGCATTGCACGTTCCTGGTACTCACATGCGACTTGTAAGTGTGCCAACAGGAAGTTTGGGCGGGTCCTTGGAGATTTAAAACATTCTTATCTGTAGTTAAACACTTCGGCTTCCAACAGAAGTTAAAGAACGTACAGTTAGAAGCGTTTAAACTATGACAAAAAAGAAACAACAACAGAAATTCGAACAAAAACACAGTATATTTAATATTATTTATTATAGATTATAAACGTTGTATTTTATAAAATAGTAGCTTGCTGAAGATTTATCATACTGGATCTATAATAAATTAATTATTTAACTGCTAGATTAATTCAAAAATTTTACATTCAGGACACGTTTCTTTTTGGATAAAATAAAGTTTATGACTTGATGTAATGGATAAAGATTAAGGTCATACTTTTTTATTTGGTAAAGTAAACTCTCCTCATTAGATTTAGCGATCCATTGTGCAGATGAAGTGGAGTTCATTTGTTTCTTGACCTCGGCATATAAAGGGATAATGTTGTCGGCACTATGCCCTATCGCCTTGGTTTCCCTAACGTAAATAAGGTAGGCTTACCCATCGGAGTTGGGTGGAATCAGGGACGTTCCACTAACTTGAACCCGGATTCGAACTCGAAACTATCGGGTTAGCAGTCTAGCGCTCCACAGCTAGGCCACGCCGTTCCATAAATATACATTTTTATATGCGGGCTGTTATTTGTTTAGATGTTCAGTGACCAAAATCAAGCTTACACTTTGCTGTTCTTGTTTGAGATTATATTCTATTTGCTGATTATCAACACTTAAAGATTGCGAGTTTAAGATATACACATCTGATACAAAGCTGCTATTGTTTATAAGATTAATATTGGGCTTTAAGCTCAAGGATAATCTCAGTGTTTCTTTCAGATATTAATGTGTGTCGTGTAGCAACATCGTTACACGCCAAATAGCTCTTGACTCACACTTCAATCTGCTTTTATCCATCAAGAACAATCTACAAGTTTCATTTAGGATTTTTCTTTAGTAGAAGGGTCTCCGTCCCTGGCTAGCGGCTCTAATGTACCTGAAGTTCGGACTCGTGACTTAACCAACAATTAAGCACCACATGCCGCACCATGCAGCCAAACCAATCAGTAGAAAAAAACTCTTTTTATTTTATTTAGCCTACATGACAAATACTAATCATAAACACTTCTGTTTCGACATAAAGACTTCAGCAAAAATAAAAAAATAAAATAAAAAAGAGGTTTGTCGAGTAGTTATTCTTTAATTACAGCTGTATGGTTTGTTATTTTTTCATTTAAATAAAAGTTTTCTCCATACGCTTCAAAATCGTAATCATACTTTCTGTTTTGACCGGTAATTTGACGATAACGATGTGTACAGGAAGGTATTCATCACGTACCGCGATTATGTGTTCTAGAAACGAGCATACACACTTCTAACATTCTGGTCTAAATATAAAAAGTGCTGAAATTTCTTGAAAAATAACAGGAGCATATTAGAGTTATTCTTATTTCCTTTCGAGTTAACTCCCCTAAGACAAGCGGGACACATTACTTACTTTCTTTCTTTTTTTTTTTTTTTTGAAAAAAAAAGCAATTTGATATTTTTTAACCATACAAGACAAAACGTACATAATTTACATACAGTTACAACAACACATCAATTATTAATACAATTATTTTTAAATATTTCTAAAATGAAATGAAATAAAGTTAAACCATATTTTTTTGTACTTTTAATTTTCTTAAATAAGGGGCGCATTTTTGAAGATTAATGGGCTATAAATGAATTTCCACAAAGAGTTAAGCTATTTTTTTCTGGCTGTCATCAACTCCAAAATACTCAAGTAATGACAATTGCGTGACCGAGTTACAGTCATGTTCGGTGGCAAAGATGGCCATTGTCAATTCAGCACACGATAGTCTGACATTACGGAGTAGCTTGTTAATTGCTTTAACGCCCGAAGCCTGATATCGCGAAACCCTCGCGAGAACAGGACACATGAATTTAACCAACAGCCTTACTACGCTTAGCGTCAATGAGCAAAGCAGTTGAGGACAGACAGATCAGTCTAAGTCAGGGGTCGGCAACCTGCGGCTCGCGAGCCGCATGCGGCTCTTTTGATATCAAGATGCGGCTCTCCAGCTCCTTGAACAAATACTAATAATCTTAATAAAAAAATAAAATATTTGAAATAAAAAAAATGTTAGTGGCCCTTTAAAACCAGGGAAATTTTGAAAATTGTAACTTTTGGCTCTTACGCTTCAAAAGGTTGCCGACCCCTGGTCTAAGTAGATCTAGTATATCTATACTGCTCATGTTTAAACACGAGAAACATCATTTGAATTGAGGAAAAGCTGGTAGAGGAAGCACAAGAAAGCAGAACTCCTACAAATACAAGATACAGACTAGACAAACTGGAATAAAAAAATCAGGTTGATAGAATTGCTAATAAAAAGGATCCAAAAGAGGAAAGTCCATGAAGTCAGTGCAAACAGGAAGAATTTAGTAGATGCCATGATGTTTTACATATCTTATTCCGGTGATGAGTTAACATCATTTAAAGACTACAAACCAGAATGAAAGAAAATCAAACAGAGAGCTAATACATTATAGGTGAAACAGAATCTGTTAAGGATTCTGTGTTTCTTGAAAGAGTTAAGAAGAGAGGATATGAGCTGATTGACATAAATGCTCCCATTGATGAATACTCTGTGTAGCAGCTGAAAGAATACGAGGGTATGAATTTAGTTTGTGTCGCTATATGAGGCTTGGCCTGTGAAAAAACGTTTGGAAGAACCTAGGGCCAACAGGAAGTACTATGTAAAGTGATGGACGAAGTATTGGATACGAAAGTAGAAAGGTTGGTTGTATCAAATAGGTAGTGATACCTCCTGGCTGTATTGTCACAACTCAGTATGACAGGTCAGCAAACATGGAGAGAATATTGAAAGCACAAGCCCTAAGAGACACAGGCACTATGGGCTATATGGCAGCCAAAATCACCCGAGATTAACCCTGTACATCCTTTTGTAAACAAGTTAATAAAAAGTCTAGTGACAATTTAAGCGCAATTTCCTTAATTAATTTTTTGTGACTGAACGAAAGGATACTTTTGAAAACTTTCTTCGGCAATATTGTTCTAAATTATGGCAGGAATCGATTGGTAAGTCGCTAAGTGGTCTGGTTGCCGAGATATGGGCCAAAAACTGCATTTTTTTCGAGGTTTTTAGGCTTTTCCGGGAAATCCAGGAAGGAATTCCGGGAATTTTTTTGGCCCACAATCATCCTCGGAACTTGCTTAACATATTTGCTTTTGGAACTAGTCCTCGATATTACTTCGTTGAGGAGGAGATACGACTTAAAGCTGCGGACACACATCGGACACACATCGGACACACATCCGTTCAGAACGAGTTAATAATCGCAATTCCTGTAAGGAAATTGCGCTAAAAACTCTAAAAGAGAAGGCTGATGCCCCATGCAAGCAAGTTTGTATATTGATGGAATTGAAAAAAGAGGCTAAAACAGTAAAAAAAGATAATCATTCTAAATCTGGTAACAAATGTAACATAATTATCGTTTTTAATTTCGAACTTTAAACGTTGCAGCAGATTACCTGTTCTACATACACGCACACACACACACACACTCACATATATATGCATACACGCATGCGCAATACTGATGACAATAGCAACACACTCCAGCCGAGTTCACAATGCGTTGTTGCCGAGGCTCAACTTAAAAACAACGACCGGACCCGATTTCACGAAACTCGCCCAGCTCTGTATAGCCATCAATCAGCAGAGCGTCATTAATTATGAGCGTGTCAACAAATGATGATCGCCCGTCCAGCCCCAGTGTGTTTATACAACCCAAATCTATGTTGTTACTGGCAGAGAGCGTTGGCATTTGGTCTTGTAGGTGGCTGAGGTTACGTTAGGTGAGATCAGGTGGGCTTAATTATGTAGCCTAGATTGTCACGTGATCTGGGACTGAGTGATTAGGCTTAGGCCTGCTAGTTAGGCTAGCCAATTGATGTACTAACTTATCCATCACGTGTTTAATAATTTTCGTCATGAATCAACACATCACCAATATTCAAAGTTTATACAAAATTCCAGAGGCGTAGCGATGGGGGGGGGGGGGGGGCAGGGGGGTACATATGTCCCCGGGCACCGACCTTAGGCGGCGCAAAAATGGGTTGTAAAAACAAATTAAAATGTCATTTTAGCTGCATTTTTGCATTATAAACAGTTGTTTGAGGGGGGTGTGTGCAAATTGAAAGTTTGAGGGGGGGGGGGGGGGTATGCAAATCGAAAGTTTGAGGGGGGGGGGTGCACGTTGAAAGTTTGAGGGGGGGGGTGCAAATTGAAAATTTGCTCCCGAAGGGGGGGGGGGGCGCCAAATCGAAAGTTTGTCCCCGGGCGCCGGGAAGGGTCGCTACGCCTCTGCAAAATTCAATACACTGAGCATTTAAATAAACAAAATCTGTCGACCATTCATAGCGATAGACCTAACCAACATATAGTCAATTTATAAAGTCAATCAAGTAATCGATACACTAATCAAGTAACGTATCGATCCACGAAATAGGCCAACTAACGAAACAAACCATCAATGTATCCATTAAACAATCCATTGAAGAATC